CCATCTTGTGGGAGAAAAGCAGATTACTTCCTACTCGCAAGTGCCCCCTCTGGTGGGGAAACTTTTTTCAGGGATACAAACTTTTTCAGAACACCGGTAGACGGCAGCMATTACAGACGAACATGTGTTTGTTGTTGTTCGAGGAGCGGCCCGGTCACACGCTAATGTCATTAGTTTGTTATCATTACTAAGGGGCAGGACTGCTTTTCCCCCTTTTTTCACATCATGTCGCCTGCTTGGATCTGTTATTATCTCGCTCTGAAATACGAAGGAGTGTCAGAGGTGAGCTCGTTTCAACTGATTTTACGACGCGGTCTCATTTCTGGACTCAATAATTTTGTGAATGAAGCCGATATTTCAGTTAAAATACAAAAGTAAAAATATTTATTTGAGTATAGTACTACCCCCCAACTTTATGGATGATTTTATGGATTTAATTTTACGTATTATACTTGAATAAATACAGTAACTATATTAGTGGCTTGTTTCTTTTATATGAAACTTGAGGTAGGGTGCATTTGTCCTATCTTTAAACAGGAAAGGACACAGCCTCTCCTCCAGCCTGACTGTGCTCCAGGCTTAGAAACCAAGAGTTCCAGCTGAGCTGCACATTTAATACTGCTGCTATACATTCATCACTGGGGGACAGCACTCAACTCTGCAGCGCTCTGGCTTTCCTTCTTCACCAATTAGTGTATTTTCATTGGGCTGTAGTTTGCTCGGGCTTCTTGTTATCTCTGCACAGAGAGAATGGAGCTCCTGGGTGGGTCTGGCTCTTGAAGTGGTGACGGGGTGTCTGGGCTCCTGTTTGGCCTGATAACCTCAGCAGAGGGCATCTTATGACGTTCTCCTCTCTAGAACCGCATCAGGGACAGAACAGCTCGCAGCAGAAGATATTTTTAACTACAAAGTGTGGATAGTGGTTTTTAAACCGGGTTCCCTCATTAAACCTTTTTTTTCTCATGTGTTTGTGCAGATTCTCAGGGGTCTTGAAACATAATCCCAAGTGCCTGAATAATCCACATTTGGATTTTTTGTTTTGATTTTAAGAGAAGCTCCACTTGAGTTCCTACATTTTTTTAAGTTCTTACATCCCCATTTGAATATTTCTGCTCAGAGTTGAATTAGAAAGCAGCCATTTAAAGAATAAATAAATAAAAATTATACCCAGGATTCTACTCGTCTGTTTGTTGTTGTTTTGTTGTGTGAGCTCAGTTTTGGAGTGGGATCACCAATCAGCTGAATAACATTTCCACATTCATTTTCTGCAGCATTTTCACTTTTATATAATCACAACGTTTGGGCCTCACCAGCAGAAAACATGTAGATGTAATCACATAATTGCAGTTTTTTTCAGCTGAAGTATTTTTTTATTTAGTGGTGGTATTTTAACAAGCAAAACAAAATCAACAATATAAATAAATATATACATATATAAAAAACACCAAACTGAAAATGTAAACTTACCAGGGAGTCTGTTCATATTTACACCCTGAGCTGAAAGGCCGATTCCCATGTAGCTGTGGGACAGATGAGAGTTAGTACATTTATTTACAAAACAATACGTCTCATTTACACAGGAGTACTTTGCCTATTTTCAATTTGATTATGGTAAATTATTAAATATTACAAATTGCCCACAATGGGATAGATACACAAAAACTGTTTCAAAATACTTAAACAAACCCAAAGGTACAGAACTTAATCCCTCACATGTTGGGGAGAATAGTTTGGACATCGTTTGTGCTCAAGTCAACACAGCATGAAAACATCCATATGTGTGGTTTTATGTGTGTAAATGACACAAACAGTATCAACACATCTGTATTAGTTCAATGCATCAACGCAATGAAAAAGGTGCAGAGTAACAGATGTAATGTGCAGATCTTCACTCTGCTCATGAAACAAAAGTTGTGCCTTTTGCAGAGTCACACAAAGCAAAGAGGAAAAGGTGCACACAGATTTCCATTAACTTCTGTTGCCTTGTACTCCACACAACAGTGTACCGTCATCGTCAGCGGCAAAATACAACCCATCAGGACCAAGGTCGAAGCAAGAATGTCCCAAACTCAGCAGCAACACAAGAAACAAGGAGTGTCTCTGAATTATCAACACACCAACAGCTGCTGGTGACCTCTGATGTGTTGGTGTGTTTTTAAAGTAAGAAATAAACAATAATATGTCTCTGACAATATTTATTTAAAATGTCACTGGATTTTATACTCAGACATCTGATTGAAGATTTTTGTTTTGGATGTAAAAATCAGAAGGACGGCCTGGAAAACAAAGTAAAATCTGTTTTTTTTTTTTGCTCTGGTGCATTTTTATTTTAGATTCCTGCATACAACCTGAAGCAAACACAACTAATATCTAAATATAACTGAGTAATGCATTATGAGTCATCTAGTTTCCCAGCTGTTTATTATTAAAAGACCCAATTTGACCAGCCAGATTAAAAGTCAGATCATTTAACTGATTACAATGTGTCCTTTTGGGAATCAGGAACGCTGCAACTAATTATTAAAGGGATCCATGATTAGTTGTAACATTAGACTTTATTTAATAAACATATATTTTAACTGTAAAATAAAGACTGAAAAATACTGTAGGATGTTTAGTTTTTATCATTTTTAAACTAAAAGTTTAAAAATTTATTACA